AAGTTTGGCTGAGTTACTCATTTATTTAAGTCCATCTTACAAATGCAAAATGAATTGAGTCACCCAACACTGTGCCAAATGGGTGATCAAAAGCATAGTTCTAAAAGCCATCAAGGATTATTTGAAAGAGCATAATCCTCTCAAATGAACAAAGATAATGAAAATATGTCATCCCCTTAAAAAGTGTGACTCCCTAAATGACTTCTTAAAAATTCATTTTTATTAAACTTCAGTGAACTTTATGGTTGAGAGTCACTTTAAAATTCACAAAAATACTGAATAGCAGCATTTCCTCAAGCTCAGAAAACTGTGTTAAGAGAAAAAGGCTAGGTGCCGTAGCTATTTTTATAACAATATTCTTTTTCTTTGCTTGTTTGGTTCTGGAATTAACTCGAAGGCCTTGTGCATGCTAAGCATTTGCTTTATTACCAACTGAGCTACAACCTCTAGCCTGAAACAATACTCTGACATTAACCACGCTGGAGAGGGAAAAATACCTACTTTTATTATTTTTTTTGTTAAAAAGCACAAAAACAGCACATACTGGAAATTTACTAAATCATCCATCAAAGAAGAAAAGTAAAATAACTTCAAAATATATTTATACATGATGATCTCATAGTGTGCCTTAAACACAGATAATTGAACTCATGTATAAAAACTTAATTGCTACCAGGTGCCAGGGTTTATTCCTAGCTACTTAGATTTTTTTTTGGGGGGGGTCCAGTCATGGGGCCTGAACTCTGGGCCTGAGCGCTGTCCCTCAGGTCTTCAGCTCAAGGCTAGCGCTCTACCACTTGAACCACAGCGCCACTTCCAGCTTTTTGCTTATGTGGTGCTGAGGAATCAAACCCAGGGCCTCAGGCATGCAAGGCAAGCGCTCTACCTCTGAGCCAACTTCCCAGCCCAATCCTAGCTACTTAGAAGGCTGAGATTTGAGGATGGAGATTCAAAGCCAAGTGGGTAGAAATGCATGTAAGACTCTATCTTCAGTTAGTTTCCCAAACAGACTGAAGGGGTTGCTCAAGTGTAGAGTGCCAGCTGTGAACAAAAAGGCCACGGAAGAGTGTGAGACACTGATTTCAAACCTTGGTATTGGTCCCTCACAGCCAAAAGAGAAAGAAAATAACAATAACAATAACAATAATAATAATAACAATACAAATGCAATAGAAAACAACTTGCACATATTTGACTCAAGTGGTATAGTGCTAGCTAAGATTGAAAATCTGAGGAACAGCTTCAACGACCTTCCCTGAGTTTAAACCCCAGATACACACACACACACATACACACACACACACACACACACACACAAAATACTTGATTATTGATTAATATACAGCCAAGTCCTATAAACACTCACTGAAAAGTAGCAGAGCAATTCAGAGAGTAAAAAGTCACATGATAGTCTTCTTAAAATCACAAAATTAACAAAAACATTCTGTTAAATTTATAAGTCTTCTACTTCACACCAAACTATCTAACTATGAACAGGAGGAAGAGCATTCTTAAAAATTAACAATATATGATAATTTTCCCAAACCATCCAACAAGCATATGGTCTTCATTGAATGAAATCAATTTGAATAATATTACTACATATCCACGTCAGCTCTTTATGGAAAAAAAGTTACAACTAAAATTAAACTGAATTTTTAAAAAGGCTCTTTGAGTGAAATAAGAATAATTTCCTCTTGATATTTGGTGACTGCTCCTATCAATAATTTCACCTCATGAGAATGAGTCAACTAAGAATATCATTCTTAATTTTATATGGTAGAGATCTTTGAAAGAGAAGAGCAAGAAAGTATAGCTAATTGTTTGTAGCAAATTAAATGCAACCCTTTTCTATTCCTCTCTAATTCTTAGGATTCCTGATGAAACAGATATCCTTATTAATCTTTGGTGAAGCATTATAGTCAAAAAAAAAATAAAGTACCTTTCATTCCTTCCTGCTAACTATCTATAAAGCATGCCCAATATTTGCACACAGACAGTATTTGTCAACAGACAAACCCATGGAAATTCAGTCACTATTGAAAGGAGACCAAATAGTCATGAAAGAGTTACTTTCCCAATTTGCAGTAATTTCCCAAAGGCTTTTCTAGTCTTTCAGTTTAGAAAGACATTGGATGGCAAGAAAACAAGTAGCATTTTAGCATAGTGAAAGGAAGCCTTCAGAGCACAAAAGGTGTTATGTCATGAGCTAGATAAGTAGAAAAGTGTTTAAGGCACAGATTCAACCACAAAGCTCCAAGGAACTGGGATTTTATTATGTCAGAAAAAAACATGTTAATTTGAAAAAAATTAGACAATCATATGCAGATCATAGGGTTTCAATAAACAGCCTCTATCTCTGGAAAGTTTCATTTTGTAGTTAGGAACTGACCAATGAACTATCATGTGAATCATTTGAAATCACACTCAATCAGGAATGAAAATGGTTACATTCCTTCCTTTAAATAATACCAATCAAGCAGAAGTCTGGCTGGTAGATGTACAAAGCTCATACCTAAAATCCTAGCTACTAAACAGGCTGAAATCTGGAGGATTTTGGTGCAAAGACAGGCTGGGCAGAAAAGTCCAAGTCTCCATCTCCAAAATAAACAGGAAAAAATATCAAGGCAAAAGTCATTGTGACAGAGCACCACCCAAACAAGCAAGTTGAGCAAGCACAGGTACTAAGTGCAAACTCCTGCATTAGCAAAAGAAAAAAATAATCTTTTCTTTAATGAAATGTGTGAATGGAAAGGGGAGAAGGGCATAGAAAATAAAGTTACAAAATCAAAGAGGTGGGAAGAGCGTCCATTGTGAGTTTATTACAACACAGAGATCTTGAAGGGCATTTGACCTCAGGAGAATTGTTGGTTAGAAATGCTCCTAATAGCTCTTTTCTGGAAACCAGCAGAGAGACTAATTATAAGAAACTTCTCTTTAGGGACAAGTACATTCCTTTCCACACCTAGGTGGTACCCAACTCTTCACAGACTTCTGCTCTATTACTTCCTCTAGATTTGGAAGAAAATCCTTAACTGTATATCCAGTAAATATCTGATTTTGTTATTAAAATCCCAGTTAAGAACATGGGAAAAGGCTTCTTAGGAGAGTAAGGTTTCTTTCATTTCTTCTTGATTTACATCAGTTTGGTGAACAGAGAACCAAGGAACATAGGAGAAAAATGCAATGAGTTCCACTTGGGGAAAACAAATCTCTCATTTTAGGATATTAATGCATACAATATTAAGATATTGTGTGTGCCTGTGTGTGTGTGCATGTGTGCGCGCATGCTTACTTTTCACTCTTTTTATCATATCCACCTATCTCTCTAATACAAATAAAGTAAGGTGCTAGAAGTAACCAGTTTGATTTTTAAAGGAAAGAGAACAGGTCTGAGGTACAGCTCACAGGCTGTATATACACACACATACATACATACATTTGTACATACATACATTGTAAAAGAAGAAAGCTGTAGTCTATCCTACCCTCTTTATTCCAATTTCACATCTATCAAGTGGCAAGACTGTGTACTTCTGAACATTTGGGAGAAAAATAAAGTTAATTCATGAGCTTTTAATCAAACAGAAAATACTAACCATAGCAAATGTTTTCCTTTGTACTGTATTCATTATAACTGAACTTGCCAAAGTGATATATCTTTCAAAACACAGCATACCATAGACAACAGATTGTCTCTTCAAAAAGCTGAGGGGAAAATGTAAAATTACCCAGCTGTCTTTAAAAGAAAGAAGAATCCTCTGTACCTGTGATTAGCTGCTACATCACTTTAGAAATTACATAAGAAAAATAATTAAATTTTTAAAATCTTAAGAAGAAAGCTTTACATAATTACAAAATAACTTGGAAATTCTTCTTTCAATTGGAAAGAGTCAAAAAAATCTCAAAATACTTCATCTGAAGATCCCAACTTGTAATGGATAATGAAGAGGAGGAAGAAAAGACAGTTGCAGATAGACATGACCATTTTCTACCATATTTTGACCTCCACCTCTATTTTTTCTCTCTTTTAAAATCCTTCATTATTGCACTCACTGAACCACAACATATAATGTTGAACAAGGCAGAGAAGATGTACAGGCAGCAACAATGGGAACAAATGTAATTACTGCATCCAGATGGGAACCTATTGCTTTCAAATAGGTTGCTTTCAAATCCTAGTCTCTACACAATTGAACCAATCAGACCTTCAATCAACCTAGGACAGTCAAGAGAATTCTCACACTTAAGGGATTTTGAATACCTGCTCAGGAGAACCCATGTCACACTCATTCCACATACCTGAGAAAGATTAGCAAAACTCTGTCTTGAAAATGATAATCCAGAATTCATTTTCAATTATGAACATGCTTTTTGAGTTGCCATTCCAGAGCTGTGGTATCTTAGTGAAGGGAAGGAGGCAGACAAAGCTGTTTTCTTGTTCATGGAACAGAAAGAAATTGCACTGAAATAGCATTCAAGTGCCTGTGGAAACCTGTGCCCTTTGGGAATAGTATTTTGCCCTTTGCAGCTGCTTCTCAAGGAATGCCTTTGACCAGCAAAGTCATAAGCATTGACTTACAATCACTTTAAAGCCAAGAGCATGGCTCAATGGGAAAGAACTTACCTATGGGTTCATAGGTTCAATTCCCCAGCATGGAAAAAAAGGGAAAAAATAAAATGATAAAAAAGAAAGAAAAATAAAATGATAATTTTAAGAGCATAGCTGATTAGAGAAGGCTTTAAAAGTATGGAGTGGACCATCTGTTAGGAAAAGGAGGTTTGGCAAATATACCTAATACCCTAGTCAAAAAGAACCTGTAGAAACAGACAAAGCTGAGCTATCGAATGTCCCAAGGGAGAAAAGCTTACATCACATTTGTTTTTAAATTATAAGGTGACTGGGTAGACACACACTACAGCTGTTTTTTTCAACCATAATCCCCTTCACACACACACACACACACACACACACACAAATGGCAGGTTCACCTACTTACATCAAAGGGAGCTGAACTTGACCCAGCGTTCTGATTACATGGTTCCCTGAAGCAGTCACTAAAAGGAAGTAGAAGACCCATGGCGATGATCCGCGAACAAAATTTCTCTGCTTCTTCGGGAGGCCCGTTCTCCTGCTGGCTAAACAGCTTCTCCAACAGAGTTCGCCCTGTGGATAAAACACAGTCATTAGGAGTCACCTGGCTCAGAACTCTCCTGAGACAGAAGGGTAAACACCCCAGTGAGCAACACAGTTTCCAAGGCTACTGACTCTTAGAAAGGAAGCTCTCAAAGGAAAACTGCAGTCTGGGGCTATGGGCAAGAGCAGTGGAGGGGTGCTCTCCCTTACCACAAAATGTCTCCTCCCTCAGAAGACAGTGGTTTGTCTTACTGACAGTTCTTCCTTCATCAGCAAAAAAGGGAAGTCTTACTCTTTTAGATTTAATTGAGTCTTGTTTGTTTGTTTTCTTGTTCTCCAAGGAAGCAGACCACCATTTCAGCCTAGAAATGGCAATGACTGGCATTTAATAGCTCAGGGTGAACAACAGACAAGAACAAGGAATAAGGAGATAAGTCAAAGACACCAATCCATTAAAAAGGGGAAGGAGTCAGCATAAAAGGGTATGCCCAGATGAAGAAGAACTCAAAATGTTTTCAGATGCCTCTCAGAAATATAACATTAGGGGTTTATGTTTTAATTATTTCTCTAAAGACACGAGAAGATGGGAGGTGAGGTCCTCCATGAGAAGACACTAAGAACCCAAAAGGACACGAGTCCTCCGGTACAAGATTTTCAATCTGATTGGTGTCCTAGGACTACCTGCAGAGAAGCGAATTGCTGGAAACCTGGATGTCAGTTATTTTATTGGTCACCAATGGATTTTACTGAAAGTCAAAACTGACAGCCATAGATCAGTCCCTGATCTACATTTGACACCAACAGCTCTCTTTAACTCAGAAGTGTATATAGCTTGCTTTACATTCAAAAACAACACCAGAGGAAACAGAAAACTTCTAATGTCCCTTTCAGGGATATATGTGTTCTTAGTTCCTGCCCTCTTGCTCCTCGTACCTCTAATGAGTAGATTTGTTATTTTTTAAGTCAAAATTTACTTATCCTGAAAAGTTTGTTACCTACTCTCATACCTTCTTGCAACCTTTAAAAGTTCCTTCATGAAATTAACCATTTTATACAATTAGTAGGGCTTGATTTTACTTTCTTGGCAGTATCAGAGTTTGAACTTAGGGCCTCGATCTTGTTCAACTTGCTCAGCTGGCAGACTACCACATGAATCATATCTCCAGCTCTCTGTTTGGCTGATCATTTTAGAGATGAAGTCTTACTACAGTCTTTTCCGCCCAGGCTAACTTCAAACCTCAAGCCTCTTATGTAACTAAGTTTACAGACATGAGACACCAGGGCCCAGCTTAAAATCTTGTTGTTGTTGCTTTTTAGTATCTACTTTCCTTGCTTAAATCATAAACGTTCTGAGCAAACCTGGCTACACAGAGAAAAAATCATGGATAAATATTTGGGTAATATTTGGATGAATGAATCACTATGATTCTGTAAGATAGATTCATTCAGGTCATGGTCAAAACGTATCAAGGAAATTGTCTTTCTCCCTTTGGCTTCCTGGTGCCCTTCTGCCCTGTTCTAATCCTCTAACATCCCCTCTTCTTTGCTGGCATAAATAAGGAGATTGCCTGAACAGTTAAGATATTAACCTTCAAAATCCTCTGTGTTTACAGTCCACAGCATCCGGTGACCTGTGCATTGCCCACTCATTTCATTGGTTCAGTGGTAAACAGTATGTCATCAATAGCACGAAGCATTAATTTGCTGAAGATTAATGAGATTTATTTCTTTAATAAAGTCACTTTTTTTCTCATCACTCATCTCTCTGCTTAATTGGCAAGTTCTAGGTCAACTAGCCAGACCTTAATTCTGGTGGTAGGAACTGGAAATGAAATCTCACAAAATGGAAGCAAAATATGGTTAGTGCAGGCAGACAGGGAGACATGAATGGGAGCAAGGAAACATCTAAGGCTACCAGATTCCATTCCCCTTTGAGGAGAATGATTAATAAAACCCCAAATGCCCCGCACCTTGGACCAACCATCCTGAGAATGGCCCTATCCCCCTTATGGAGCTAACTGCCCAAATCACAGAGTGCTTTGAGGGCCTAAGGATCACTATCTCCTTCCTGGCAACCCTAAACCAAGGAAAGTAAAGGTGGTCAAATGCCCAGGAGACTAGCCTCACCTTCCTCAAAGTGTGCCTGGGCCATGACTGCAAGGTTTACAACAATCTGGGTAGGTGCCACGAAAGCGAGGGCCTTCATTTAACACCGCCTTGCAAACCCAACCTTTCCATCCTAGAGAACAGTAAAACCCCAATAGCTTCTGTGAAGGTCCACATCAACCTTCATGAATTTACTTACTTCTAATGAGAAGCCTCTTTCTTTCAAAATAAAAGTCTTTCATTGTACCTCCTTGTTTCTGTTTATTCCATTTCCACTGCTGGCATATTGTGCTAATGTTACACAGTCTACTCAAAGAATGGAGTAACACCTAGAATACACCATCTACCAATAGCCTATCAAGCTATATCATCAAGTTCTGCTTCTTCTTGAGGGCAACACCAAGTTGTTGTTGCACATTATTTCATGGTTAGGTTTTGTGTTAAAGCATCTATTAAAACCTATCAGTCAAACCAAACACAAGGGGCTCATGCCCATAATCCTAGCTATTCAGGAGGCTGAGATTTTTTTTTTGGTGCTGTCCAGGATAGACTAATCCACATGATTCTTATCTCTAAATAACCAGCAAAAAGCTAGAAATGGAGGCGTAGCTCAAGTAGTAGAGTCAAGTATGAAAGGAAAAAGCTAACCAAGAGCAAATCCCAGAACCTGCAGAAAGAAAACTGTAACAGGCAATCTTAGCTTGGAGCTATACAAAACTAGATTCTGACTTACAATTTCATTATAAGAAATACTTTTTTTGCTGTTGTTACTTGCTTTGCAACCCTGGGAGTCTAAACCAGGGCCTCTTACCTCGCTAGGCAAGCATCCTCCCACTACCACATTCTAGGCTCTGAATCTCAAACATAAATGTGCAAGACAGTAAGAATGCTATTTTCAGGCCTCTTCCTATTTCTATCTATAAAACAGAACTAATCTCAAACACTGCCTTTAAGTTCTGGAGTTTGGAGATTCGAGTTTGTTTATGCCTTATGAGAACTAGGAAACTACATCCCTCAATTCTCAAGTATTAATGATCATAGTATTATATCCATTGTGCATATGATATGAAAGGATTGGTAGCATCTAAAATAAACATATTATTATTCCTACAATGGAGATACTGTGCAATGAAAAATGAGGAAAATGGGATCTTGTATATGTGTGAATTCAACAAACCAAAAGTACATATGTACAACAAGCATGAAAGGATTATGAAACAATCTGGAAGAGCTGAGAGTAAAACTTATTGGAACTAGAGTTTGATGATAAGAAAATACCCATAAATCTTTCATCCAGGATTTCCCTACCATGACACTACTGTCCTGAAGCACCTAATTCTATATGGTTGAGGTGGTTGTTCTGTGTTAGTCCCAGCAGCTTTGGTTACTACCACTAGACACGTAGTAAAACCACCCCATTAGAAGCTGCAACAGGCAAAAAATATCTGCAGCCATAGCCCCTGAGAAACTACAGGCTCCTCATTGAGAGCCCTCCTGAAACCTTTTTTTCAGTATAGGTTTGAACTCAGGGCCTTGCATTTATTAGTCAGGCACTCTACCATTGAGCTATGCCTCCAGCCCTACTTAACCCCTTTCTAAGGAGAACTTAGCTGCTTTGTATGAACAGTAAGTCAGTTGCCCCTTGAAAATCTTTCTCTTGAAGCCCTCTCCCACCTATTTCAAATACCTCCTATTCACAGGAAAAATAATGGTAGGTAACTTTCTTGATGAACACAAATACTTAGAGATGGCTTATCCTCCTTCAGAACCATTTGCTCCTTTGAAAACTCATATCTAGATAGCCTACTACGTCTCCCTTTTCCCTCTTGCCATCCACTATTTCTACTCCTTCCCTCACCCTACCGTTCACAGAACACAACACTTGTCGATTCCTGACTTACTGTCCCACTCTGCACTTGCAGCTCTATCATCATCAGTGATGCTGACATCCGTGTAAAGAAAACACCAGTGCGCAGATAAAGATTTTATCCGAAACCTTGACTCTTTGCCACCAACCAGCATTTCCTCTAGCCCTTCAGGCATGACTCATTCTCATTCACACCTTCAAGTTGATGAGCAGCAGGAACTCTGTCACCTCCCTTGGCTTCTTACCACCCTTTAGCCAAAAACAAACTTCTCTTCCTGCCCCTCCCACCTTTCACCTCTTTCATCCCTCCCTCTGCTTTCCCTCATTAGCCTTCCCCACTTCCTGGGACTTTTCTCTGCTCATTTTTCTCTCTGGCTTTTGCATCAGCACACTCTTCCCTAGATACCCAGTGACTCATACATTCCTTTGTTTTATTCAGACCTCAGCTCTCAACTGTCATTTCCACTGAGAAGAAATCCCAAGTGTCCTTCCAAATTAGCACTTCCTGTCACTTTATTTTCCCCTTTCATCTGCCTTCATTGTTTTCCCAGAGCTTAGTCCTTGAGTAAGGTAAGCCTGTGGTCTGCCACCTCCTCTTAGAATGTAATCTCCATTTCAATTTTTGTTCAAGGAATATCTAGCGAAAACGAGATGGCCACTTTTTAAATCATCCATTGGTCAGTTTATGCACAAATGCCTAGATAAAATACCTCATCCCTGACCACTGATTTCTGTTCCTTAAGCTCATGCACTAAGGCTGCATCCATCATTTACCTTGAATCAAGCATCTTTAGCACTGTTGACTTCAAACAGTCACCACTACTATCCCACAATCCATCACTCCCAGTGTGCCTTCACTTCTTTCCTTTGCAGCTTAAATTCCACATTCTACTATAATAAAATCCTGAGAATTTTTAGTTCCTTCTTCCTCTTTCTCTCCATCATGATGCCTTGCAAAGTCAAATCATCTACCTTACTTGTCGGTCAAATCATCTACCTTACTTGCCTACAGATTTGATCTACTTAACATGGTAAAGACACACATTTCTTGTTTTTA